GAAGCAATTTCAGTGTAAAATTTAAGCTTTAGCTTTAACTTCTATTCATATTATATAAGCAATGTATTTGTTTCCAAAGTCCCTCACACTGGGACACTGCACAACCATTCAAGTTCACAATCAAACTAGATCTTGGCTCCAGTCTTGTATTGCCTTACTAACTATTCACAGTGAATTGTATTTCACTTTCCCCTCTCAATCATGAATTTCAGATGTTTCTGACAGAACTGATTTATCACAGTTTTATTCAATGCTGTTGCCTGCATCTGTAGTGCAACAGCTGGCATTTCTTTCCTCTAGAACTGTCACACACACACACACACACAGTGTATGTTTAGCCAAACATGGCACAATCCCACAGTCTCACAGAAATACCACAACTGCTCTTAACTTCACATTATTGTTCACGTTGTAACTTCAAACTCTCTTCATGTTCGGGTAACTTGTTCCCACGGTCGGAACGAAGAGAAAATTGCAATTGTGCTTAAAAGGCAAAAAACTAATGCTGTGGAAGGAGACAATGAAACCGTTATTAAGCATTTCCATTAGTTGTTTTTATTTAAAAAGTGTAAACTTGACTTCTTACCGCTACCTAAACTACAACTACTGCTATTACCACTGTTCATAAGTAATGGCAGGATGGAGCAGGAGATGGGTTGACAGATTGGGGCCCCATCTGCAGTAATGAGAACATTGTTTTATTAATAAAGAAGCTGAGCTGATAGACAAAGCTCTGTTTGCTGATCTGTCTACATTCCAACTTTCACCCGTTAAACACATAAGTTGTGAATCACGTCGAAAAGAACAGGTGCTGAAATGAGCTTTCTCCATTGAGTGGCTAGGTTCAGCCTTAGGGATAAGGTGAGAAGTGCCTTTGTCTAGTAGGGGTGTCAAACTCACTTACAAAAGGGGACCAAAATTAAAACCTTCTTTAAACTAATGGCCAATTTCAGAAACTACATTAACTCAAATCAGATACCCAACCTCTTTTCTTGGTCACAGATTTCGCAACAAGAGTTTGATTGGTCTCATTGGATGTTCTCTGTTGTGCTTTCAACATCATAATCAAAGTTCACTGAAACATTTCAAGAGATAGAAGTTTTTTACATTTCACATACTGTATCATCTTGGGGGCCAGATAAGATGTCAACGAGGGCCACGTTTGGCCCCCAGGCCTTGAGGTTGATATATGTGGTAGAGAGAGCTCAGTGTAGAGCTGCGCCTCCGCCACATCAAAAGCAATCAGCTGAGGTGGTTCGGTCATCTGATTATGATGCCCTCTAAAGGATTTCCTTTCAAGGTTTTTTGGGCATATCCCAGGGCAGCACGGTGGCGCAGCTGGTAGAGCTGCCACCTCTCAGCGAGAAGGTTGCCGGGTCAGATCCCGGCCCGGGATCTTTCTGGGTGGAGTCTACATGTTCTCTCCGTGCATCTCATGTTCTCTCCGTGCATGTGTGGGTTTTCTCCAGGCACTCCGGTTTCCTCCCACAGACCAAAAACATGCATGTTAGGCCACCTGGTAACTCTAAATTGTCTCTAGGTGTGAGTGAGAGAGTGAATGGTTGTTTGTTTCTGTGATGGACTGGAGACCTGTCCAGGGTGTACCCCGCCTCTCGCACAGTGACTGCTGGACATGGGCACCAGTGACCCCCATGACCCGAAAAAGAAGAAGTGGGTAAAGATAATGAAATGATGGCTGGGCATGTCCCTCTAGGAAGAGACCCTAGGGTTACTTAAAAACTCACTGGAGGAATAATTGATCTTCTCTGGTCTTGGAACACCTTGGAATGCCACAGGAAGAACTGGAGAGTGTTGTTGGCATGGAGGATGTCTGAGTGTCCAGGAGGGATGCCCAGATATCACAACCCATCTACAGATGAGCAAAAGAAAATGGAGGGATAGATGAGGAATGTGCATCGGACTTCCTACGGGCCTTTTTGACGTCTTTCTGCTTTAAATAGCAGCTATGCTTTACAAGATGCTTCTAATTTAAATTCTAGGGTATTGAAATGGTGGGGTAGACCATCCTTTGTTGATTGACACCTCATTTAGCCCATTGGGTCATTCGTTGGTCTCTCCAGAGCCAATATAGGCCTAGTGTCATGTGTTCTGACTGAGGATACCCACACTCCTTTGCCTACAGAACTGACCGATCAGCTCTGATGCCTGTTCTGATGTTACAAGCATTCAGGGGTGTCAAACTCCAGGCCTCGAGGGCCAGTGTCCTGCAACTTTTAGCTGTTCCACTGGTCCAAAACATCTGAATCATATGACTGAATTAGCTTCTCAGTGCAGTCAAGTTCTCCAAAGACCTGCTAATAACTTCCTTATTTGATTCAGCTGTGTGGCATCAGAGACGCATCTAAAAGTTGCAGGACTCAAGCCCTGGAGGCCTGGAGTTTGACAACTGTGGTTTAGACAATCAAGTTCACATCACGTGGATATGCATTGTTCACAGGCAAAATCTAAAATGAAAGCACTAAATGAATTCTGCAACAACAACAAAAAAATAAAAAAATAAAAAATTGCCCAAGCCAGCCTGCATGCCCCACATTTAGTATTGAAAAATACTTTTGTTTTAATGTTTATTTTTCAAAAAAAGATGTCAAAACATACTATAAAGAGAAAATATAGCTCTTACGAGGTGGATGAGTGGTGTAAGAGAAGGGAGCGTGATTTTTCTGATGAGGAAATGGATAAAAAAGCCGAGCAGTGAAGCATCTCTGACAATGCCTTGGACAGGACAGGTTATGAATTGAGTCATATATGAGAACATTTTCTACTTCAAACGTAAGTGAAAACCTTTTACAAACTGCTGCTATTTGTTTATATATTGTTTAGATGTCAATACTTTTGGAAAAGTAAGGTAATTCTCCTCTTTTTCTCGTGTTTTCAGCTGCGTGTGGTGCTGCGGGGTGGAGACATGTGTTTTCATGCTTACTTTATTGCTGTGAACAACAAAAATGGTTAAATCATAATATGGACCAGTTTCTTTAAGTGAGAAATGTTTTGTCCTCCATCCGGAGGACTTCTTCAGTCTGTGGCCTGCCAATCAGATCTGTCCCATAGGTAGTCTTCACTGCTGTTTCAAGCCAACCTCCTGTTGGAATATCAGAAGTAGACTTTTAACATGTGCAAACAGAGCACAACCATCCAAAACAATCAGTCATCAACAGCAATCAAATGTTTTATGTCAGGTGGCCAACTTGATATTCACAAACGTTTCTCATTTGAAACTGGTCCAGATGACATGATTCAACCATTTTTGTTGTTATCTACCTGGATGATTGAGCTTACAACCATTTTTCTTATTGCTGTGCGCCTCCTTACTGTTTATTCATAACTTCCTGTATTTTAATCATGCTGACAGTAAATCTGGATGTAGAATATGATTCCTGTAGTTCTTACCTTTCATTAGAGCCAGCACTGATGACTGTATGTTGAAGCATTCAGGAGTGTTGGTGTCCAATTTTCTGGACATGTTGGACTCCATTTTAACACTTTTAAAATATTCATGGACATATTTTCATCGAAATGTCCAGAATAATCATTTTTGGTGCTATTGTTATCAAACTTGAACTGGTTTAACTGTAGCCTCCTATAATTTTCCAGTCCGTCCCTTCATCCCTCCATATGCATAAGCATAAATAAATAATTAAAACATTTCACATGAGAAAGAAATGTATGATTTTTGTGTGTTTCAGCTGCAATACATAGTAGTTACAGTTTCAATATTTATAACAAAAATTTAAGATGTTACCTTTACAGAGTGACCGAGCCTTTGAAAATGCTCCAAAGGGTTCGAGAATAACATTTAATTTAATTTGAGTACATTTATTCAGGAATGTTTGGCCTCCTGTTGGGCGACATTTAACAGGGTAAATGGCTTCCTGGACAAAGTAAAAGCAATTTGCGAATACAACGTATAAAAAAATTATTTAGTCTAAAAAAAATAAAATTAAAAAATTTTTTTCTAATAAGGCATTTCAGTTAGTTATTGAAAGATTAATTGAGCCATCTTTTGCTTTCTTCAGGTAATCTGCGTCTTGAATGCAGAAACATTTGCAGAGCTTGCAGCTTTCTTTGTAGATGCTTTTTCTTCTTTCAGTGTCCTCAATTCACATCAAGTTGTCCACAGTGATTAATTTATTTTTAACTTTGAGGAAAAAAAGATGTGATTTAAGAAATGTTGCCATTTTTTTTTACATAAAAATTGACAGAAGCCATGTTTGACCTAAATCACCTGTTGCTGAGTTTGCCCTTTCTCATTTGTTTAATATGAACGTTTAAAGTCTAACTGCTGTAAAACCAGTGTTTACTTCATTAATTTTTTCTTTATATCATATGTCATTGTTAAGTCATGCTGTTTTAATCACTAGTTTTGTAAAATTTCCGTTCTTGAATTATGCAGCAAGAAGTTGGCCACTCTTAGTTTTGACTGTTCAGTTACAAACGAGATTGAACGGCTGAATTATGAAAAGACACGTAAAAAATCTGATGCTTTTAAGCTAAATGTCCTGTTTCTTATCAACATCTAAAATGAGTTGAGGAGCAAGTGATTTAGTTCCTGCCTTTTGTCGCTTTCTGAAAATACTTTTAATACAATACATTTTGTCAGTGGGTTTTGTTTCCTTATAATCATTATTTATAACTATAAAATACAACAAATGGGGAATGAAACTATTCCACATCTTCCCCTCGGTTGAATAATTCAGATGTATTTGCTCTACTTGCTGTTCTGCCTAGATGCTCAGGGCTTGGAGCCTAGCAATATGGATTCTCTTGTGGTTTGGATCTTACATATATCTCTTGAGTTTAGCTTCTTTGCAAGGTCTTCTAAATATTTTTCAATTTAAGATGGAACTAAAATGACAAGTTTTTTAAAAGTTTGTTGATCAAAAATGCTCAGTAGCATGCGGTAAAAGCTAAGAGTGCACTTTTTTTGTCTACTGGGTGTAAAACATTTATTCTTTCTGTTTTTTAATTCTCTTTCCATGCAGAACTCCATACGACACAACCTGTCTTTGAACAAGTGTTTTCTCAAAGTGCCTCGCTCTAAAGACGACCCTGGAAAAGTGAGTATCTCCACAACAACGTGACGTGACTGGAAAAGGTCAGAATGAACTATGGTGCTTCATGCAGTCAAAAAAATCTAATTCTATATCAACAAACTTTCAAACAGGACTTGAGTCTAGTGTCACTCGTGTGGACACAGTTTGCATCATTGCACTGTAGACTCTTATCTATTCTTTTTTTTGTCACACACACATACACATATATACAATGTAATATGTGCATTTAAAAGCAGTTTGTAACTCCATAACCAGCTGCGCTTGAATTCCTAATGCGGCTTTCTCTGTGATCTGTGGCTCCTTCGATATTGATTCTGCCAAGTAATAATGTGGCACAGAGAGCAATGAATAATAAGTATACGTAGGTACACACCCTCAGATACAAGGCCTTTCATGCATCCGTTATCCTTTATTAGAGTTTGTTTCTGTCCTTTCTTCCCTCTCTCGGACACAATCACAGGAAGCTTTAGATATGTTTAGTCGCTGCTGGCTCTGCTGTCATTGGGAAACCTTCTTTCCAGGGCCACTTCTGCGGCGCCGCTTTGATAACAACAATTTGTCAAGTTCTTGTTTGTGCTGAATCGAAGGACTTGCTCCGACGGGGGGAAAGTATATAATTAAGGTTGATCACTGAAGCTTGTCTTTACATTATTATTTTTTTAATAAACGCTCAAATGTCTGCACTTCCTCTCGTCCCAGGATTAATGTGCAACTTTTGTGGAAGAAAAGAAAGCCCAAACTTTTCAGCAAACTCTTTAAACTTTGTTGGGGGATAGGATGGGGGAGTTTTTTTCTTCTCCTGGCTGTAGGGATTTTGGAGCCATTGAAAAATGAATTAGAGGGGAAGAAGGTTTAAATAATTCAGACAAAATCCTTGGGTTTGAGTGGAGGCTTATAGTGTGGTAAGACACAAAGAGAGTGGATGCTCCACTGATTAGCCTGACTTGGACCTGACCAGCACCTTAATTCACGACATGGATCGAAGCGGTCGATACTTTGGTATGGGCGAGAAGGAGGGGGGTCATCTCTGTCTGAAGAAGCTGAATGTTCATGTTTGAAGCCACAGAGAGAAGGGAGACGTTAAATCATGCATGTGCTAACGTTAATTGGCTGTGTACAGCTCAGTGGTGTGGGACTGAGAGACAGAAGGAAAAGACATGAGAATAAGGGAGGCAGGACGGAAGGTGGGGTAGAAGTTGATGGTTGAACTGTGTGTGTGCATGCAGGTGTGAGTGTGTGTGTGTGTGTGTCCTAGATGAATCTTTTGAATTCTAGCTGCAGCTTTAGACCTCCTTAGGAGGAAAGAACAAGAAATGAAATGTAACAAAAAATTGTTGCAGGAATAAATCAAGGATTTCTAAAAGTAATTGATTACTTCAAATTTTATTGTATTTATGTTCTATTTTATTGGATTGTATATTTAATTTGCGACATAGTTTTGTGTTAATTGTGTGTATCAAAAATATCGGGGTGGATTTTCTGGGGAGAAGAAGCAGAAGTGTGCAGCCCAGGAAAACTAAAGCAGAAAAAAATGATTTGATACAGAATTGGTAGAAAAACAGATGCACTTGTTTTATTGAATGCAATAGAGTCATGTAGTGCGAGTTCCTCTTGGCAGGGTGACTGAAGCTGCCTCACTGAGAACAAGTGGCGACAAAAGATACTTTTCAGTGTACATTATAAGCAAAGACACATTTCCTAAAATCACAGATGTGAAACGAGTGGAAATATTTTGGATTTAACTATATCACTTAAATACCCTTATGGGTTGAAAGGGCTTCAAATGGAGGAGTTCAGGTATCTGGAGCCTTCTTTAAGAGTGATGGTAAAATAGAACTGGACAAGGGTTGACGGATGGGGCTTGGTCTCTTGTGGTCAAGAAGGAGCTGAGCCAAAAGGCAAAGCTCTAGATTAACTGGTCCATCTACGTTCAAACCCTCGACTATGGCCATGAGATGTGATTCATGACTTCATTCAATCTTTATTTATGCAAGTTAGTCCTCTTGAGCCTCGGAGACTTTACAAGAGAGACCCGACTGAAAGAAATAGGTTCCAAATACAAGTGGCTGAAATGGGTATTCCCTGTAGGGTGGTGGGGCTCAGCCTTAAAGATGAGGTGAGGAGCTCTGAGTAGAGCTGCTGCTCCTCTGTTTCAAAGAGAGTCAACTGCAGTTGTTCGGCCATCTGATCAGGATCTCCTGTGTGCCTCTCTCTCAAGGTTATTCTCTTCATTCTGGGAGCACCTTGGTATCCTCCAGGAGGAGATTCTCACAGAAGAGGCTGTTGTTTGTGTTCTTCTAAATTTGCTGTCTCCACGGCCCAATCACTGATAAGTGGCAGAAATTGGATAAATGGCTATAAAGCCATGTGTTGCCAGGAGATGTTAATACTTTTGAATTTAAATTATATCTATTCATTCACCCATCCATTTTCTTTACCCACTTGTTCCTGTTCAGAGTTACAGGGAATTGGTGTTTGTCTCCAGTGTGCGTGCATTGGGTGGTATACACCCTGAACAAGTCGCCTGTCTATCAAAGATAGATAGCGTTATAGTGATATCAGGGGTTTCAGTTCTACAACCCATGACAACGACATTATCTTTAAGAAATAGTAATGTGTAAATAAAGTAGTATCTAAATCAAAATGATTCCAAAGTTGTTCATTTGAAAAATAGTAGATTGACCACTTAAGATTGAGAAGTTGCTGTCTTTCCCGCGACCCGAAAAAGCAAGTAAGTGCTATGTGTTGTCATCATTGTATATTCCCATACAATGGCAAAATTGGTTCTCTGCATTTAACCCATCACACCTGGGGTACACCCAGGTGGAGCAGTGGGCAGCTATGTAAGCACCCGGAGAGCTATTAGGGATTATGTCTTGCTCAGAGACACCACAACATGTGGGAACTGCTGGGGATCGGACCTGGGACTTTTGGGTCCCGAGTCGGCTGCCCTACCTCTACCCCATCTTGGCCCCGGGTAAAGGTAATTGATGGATGGATGGAAGTTGCTGTCTTTGGTAGAGTTTATAATCTTGGGGTGTTGATGACAAGTAGGCTTGAAATAAAGATGGGAATTGATGTAGTTGTAAAAGACTTGATAGTGACACAAACAGCAATGGCCTGTATTTTTTTTAAGACAGAGCTGAACCAAGGAATGGGAGGAGCTCTAGAAGAATACACAAAGCATTTTCTGTCAAGTTGGTTTAATTGTATTTCTTGTATGGTCACAATTTAGGGTTCCTACTGGGCCATAGACACCAATCCTAAAGAAGACACATTACCCAGCAGGCCCAAGAAAAGACCACGGTCTGGAGAACGGGTAAGCTTTCACAGACCTTCTGTTTACTTCTCTTGTCAGCACTAGGGCTTGTTGTTTTTCAAAGCTTTAAATATTGTCACTCAGTATTTAACAGGCTGGTATACAATCTGGTGCAAACTACATCCTGTCAGTACAATAAGGGGAAATGACATTTCCTTCAGTAGCTCATACTTCTAGATTTTGAGTGTTCCCTTGGAAATTAATTTGAAGTCACAATGGGACATTCCTACAAGAGGCTTCTAAGTCATGAGTTTTAAATATTTCTCTTGCATAAATACCTGATTTCTAATATGCCTTGTAATGTTACAATATTTAGTTTACTATAGATAATAACACAAGACACACTTTATTGTATGCTTATTAAGAAAAACAATCAAATGTAATATGTTGGAATGACAAAAAATTAAACATTACAGCTAATGTCATTGCTATAAAATGAAAATGATACCAGGTACTTGCCATATATTTGTGTGTCACCTTGTCATATAAACACTTGTTTTTAGCTTTCGTGGTCTCAAAAGTACTTTAATACCAGTTTAAGAAGTCTGCTGTTGAAGAATTTATCTTCATAAGCCAGTCTATTTAGATTTGACTATGAAAAGAATATAACATCAAAATTATATTACCATGAGGGAAAGAAATTTGCAAATATATTTATAACGGTACTGAATAAAACTGCACTGAATATTTTGTTTACGACTGCAGCCAAAATGTTGCAGGATTTATTGGTGCAAACACATTTAGGCTATCTCTGATCTTTATTTTAAGGCCTACAGTGCATGTTAATAGTGTGAATGTACTGCTGCTGAGGCCCTAAAACATCACAGAGACACCACTAACGCAGAATTGCCACCTTTTTAAAAAATATGCCTCAAACTGATTTTAAAATGCAAGCAAAAAATAAAAGTACAAACATACTATGCAAACACAAACATTAGCTGGATAGACATTTAAACCTCGGCCTAACTATGTAAAGACATCAATAATTTCCACAAACCGTTATTCTTCTTGTCCTTTAAAGTGCGAACAGTGGTGCTTTTTAAGAGTTATTTGTTTATCTTTGGAATGCACGTAACCAGCTGCTTGTGTCACTTCTTTGCATTCCTTTACTGTATGCTGGTGCTCCACAGTGGTTTTGTTTTAAATGTTAAAACAAGTTTGTTGTTTCCATCTTTAGAAATAACAGTTTTCTTGCACATTCTATTGGCTATTGCACTTCGTTTCAGGTCTAATTTCTTGTAGCCAAACCACTTATTGAAGTAGCTTGTTTAAATAGCTGCTGTATTGTCAACGGGTACAAACATTCTTTGTCTCAGACATGTTGAAGTGCTCTAAAGGAATGTGAATGCATCGTATTATTATCACATTTATTACATGTTACAGTCAGGGCTGAGATTTTACCATATAAAAATGGGAAAAATCCTGAATAAAGACACATTCAAGATAGTATGATTGATATATTCTGATTGCTTGCCTTGAAGCTAAGGTGCAGTTTCACAAGTATGCATTTCTACGTACATTTCAAAGTGCATTTTATTTCTTTAAATGCATTTTTATTTATTGTATGATTAAAGCGTCAGTAGCAGTGCACCATGCCTTGTGTATTCACATACTGAGTTCTGAATCTGTTTGTAGACCATGTGTAATTGGGAAAGGTCGGGAAAAACCTACAAAAATCATCTGTGTCACAAAGAAATGCCACATCCATGACATGCATGGCATTTACTTATTACAGAACCAGAGCCATTGGAGTCTTAATTAAACAATTCACCACATATACATGCATCTGTGTTAACCACCTAGGTTGCAGCTTTCTTTTTTTTTTCATGCAACAGTGAAAAGTAGGAATGAGCTACAGGATAGATGTGAGAACTCAGCGGCAGGAATAAAGATTGGGTTTGAAAAATTGATTGACAGCAGCTGAGGCTATAAATACACATAACTCTGCATCAGCTCGGCAGACTGCGCCTGGTGTTCAGTCATTAACCTGCAAATCTGAATACAGAAGTAGTGCAGAGTTTGTTTCATGATGCGTTGGAAGTCTTGGAAGCCACCTCTGCCTTCAGTCGTCACTGCTGTTTTAGCTCAGTCTGTCTGCTTGCGTATTTTTCATGTAGTTTCTGTTTCCTCAGCTCGTAATTAGCACACTTCTAACTAGTGCAGTTTATTGTCAAAAATGCATTACAGCCAGACTGTCTATTTGAGAACTGAACACATTAGGAGATGAAACTTCTTTGTGGTTATTATTCCAATTATGTTTAAACAAACTGTGCTCCGGGCTTGGCATGTACTTGCAGATCGTACATTGTTATGTGGGTGTGGATGTCTCTAATGGAAATACCTGGTTTTCTTAACAGTTTTTGGATTGAAGATTACCTGAACTTCAAAGTCTTAATCTGTTCATCGCTTTTAGCGAGTTCAGTGTGCAAGTGTGCGTTTTAATTTCCAGTTTTAGATTTGTTGCTTGTTCACAGTCACTATCAGGAAAAGGCCAATTAATGCAAATTAAAATGATTTTTAAAATACTCTGCTTCGCACCTAACAATCAGTGTGCTCTGCACAATGCACTCACTTTAAAATTCAAATAACTGATCCCCACAAAGCATTAAAAGATATGACTATGACTATTTACAGACAGCCCTTTTTAGGGTTTGGAGTGTAATTAGTGATTGAGCATTAACTTAACAGTTGAAGTTGTAAAGGCTATGGGGGTAGACAAGTGGTTTTGGTCTTGGTGTGCTGTTTTCTTGTGCAGCTATGGTGGCACAAATTAATGAAAGAGTTATTAGAATTTTTTCCCCAATTTTCACCACAGTTGTTAGAATCAGACATTAACATCTAATTACTTTCTTATCAGGGCTTTTATGTTTAGGGAAGAAGTCTTGTTGACAGATTAAAAATAAATTTATGCAATGATTTAATTGAGATTTTTCTAAATGTGCACCAGACTGGGTTGTTGCATAAAAAAAATAAAAAAACCTGAGTGTTTACAATCATCTCTTATCTTTTCATCCATCATCTATGTCACCGTTTGTTGCAACATGACCATTTTCTATCCATTCGCCTGCCACTCATTTTGCTCTCTATATTGCTGCTTTGCTTTACCCTTCCCATCTCCCGGGAGCTCGGGCAGGCGTAGAGCGGCAAAGTGCACAATCACCGTTGCTCAACAGAGGAAGACTCGAGGCGAACGAGACAGGAAGGGTTGCCTGGAAGAATAGAAGAAGAAGCAAGTGTTATAAAGAAAAGATGCAGAAATGAAGAGAAACAGATGTCAAGGTAGAGACGGTGCAGAGGGAAAAAGTCAAGCTGCAAGGAGTGAAAAAAGAAGGAAGAGGAGTTGGAGGAAGAAGAGAAGGGAGGAGGGAGTGTTCTAGGCTTGTGTTCCAGTTAATTACCACAGAAGGCCCTGGGGCTGCAGTTAGACATATTTTCTTCACCAACATTTTTTTTTATTACAAACATTAATTAATTCAGAGCCTTGTCATCTCGTCTTACATGGATGGGCCCTTCGACCCCTTTTCTTATGCCTCACTTGCACTGCTGGCAGACACACTGTGGGCTGTCACATGGGCAAAGGAGAAAATGGGAGGTTTAAGTGCTAAGATTTATGGCAGTATTACTGTCTGGGGAGATGAAAAAAAAAGGTGGACTAAATATGCCTTTGTGTTTTTATTGGGGTTTTGTTGCACCTGGGCTACGCAGACATAAAGAGTTAAAGATGGCAGTGACGCTAAACGTCAACTGCATTGTGTTAATGTGTACACCGTGTACATTTAGTCTCGTAGTTATGTCTGCGGTGCCTTCAGAATAATCACACCCTTTCATTTTATGTATGCCTCCCCATCTGCCTGTCACCACTCAATTATCTAACAATTCGTCGTCTCCCCCCTCTTTTTTCCACAAGCCTTTTTTACGTCTCTCTTCACCTCTCTGCTGTCTTCTTTTTAAGTGCCGCCACCAGGGAACTGGCAACCCATTTGTCTGGGAGTTTATCATAAATTAAAGATTGCATTGTTACCAACCAATCCTCTTACTGTAAGTTGTTTGGGGAGGCATGCATGCTGCCTTGAACCCTGAAAGAAGTCAGGCAGAGTGGGAAAAAAACATACATCTTGCTTATTTTTTAAAGATTTTCCTTGTCAGTGTTGCCCCCTCATCAATCTTTGAATAGTTTCTTATATTGAGTTAACCTTGCTTTGCCTCTTGATGAGGATGAAATGCAGCCAAATATATTTTAGACCCTTAAATAATGCATGTAGAAACCTTGATGCATCTCATCTGCTGTGCCCAATTTCATGGCTGTTTAAGTGTCCGGTAATTTACATGAAGCACGCCTCAACTTGTTCACACGGTTTTCAGCCCGGGGTGCGGTGGTGAATCAAGAGGCTCGCCAATGAATCCTGAACTTAAAGCACACTGAAATTCCTTCATAACCTTTGTCACATTTCATTTCCCTCCTCGTTGCCAAACTCCTCTGGATATTTCCAATCAGAAAAAGCTGTTTTTGAACAAGATGTGAATACAAAATAGAAGAAAAGACTCACAGCTGCTGCATAATAGTTTTCCAAATAGCAAGAGTAAATACATTACCTACATTATGTGCCTTACTTTCCTTTATTTAATGTTGCAGCTAATGATTCAAGTTCACATATTTTTATTTGCATTTTACTATAAGTGTATGCAGCAATTCACTTAAGTCAGTTTAGCTCATTGCTAAAGCTATATCTATCAAATGTCTTCAGCTTGAATTTTGACACAGATGGCAGGCAGCAGCATCCACAAACACTTTGACCAAGAAGATTCACAGATAATTACGTACATAAAGTTTTCTGGGGGCTGAAATAAAAAAAATGCATAGAAAAGTTTGGTGCATGTTTTCTGGGCAAAATTGTCATTAAATCGAATAAAACTTAGAATACCTGAAAAAAGATATTTTGTCGTAGCATTATTGGAAAACTACTACTTCTGTGGATGCCAATGACTAAAATAACTAATAAAGATCTGCAGTGGCCAAGAATGACAACCTGGACTGCTCTTTGTTGCAGCAGAGGTAGAGAAAAATCTTGAAGTTTCAACAGTGATGATTTGTTTGAGGTATTGTCTCCTGTTCTTTAAGAGATCAAATATTCAACAAAACCTTAGGACTATGACGTAAATACCTCTACATGAGTGAATCCATGTCTTCTATGTCTCATTCCTCTGTTGCACTCTGTTTTCAGGCATCAACCCCTTACAGTCTGGAGTCAGAGTCTTTGAGAATGGACTGCATCATGTCAGGAGGGGCATCCCCAACTCTGGCCATTGGTGCAGCAAATAACAAGGTAAGACACGCACTCAAAAAGTGAGTGGGGTCTTGATTTTGTTAGTGCAAGAGGAAGCAGATTGACCCACTTGTGACCAAACAAAGATCTAACCCTAACCTGTAGAAATATGATCCAATTGATGGTTAAAAATAGACTAGATCATTTAGCAGAATAAGGAGAACGGCAGCTGAGTTTCCATTACTGTGTAAGCTTTATGTTTGCCTCCCAATTGCTAAATTAACTGTCATTCGAACGAGGAGTGTCTTAGCAAAACACAGCATCGCTGAAAAGAATGGGCCAGTAGATGTATAGATAAATGCACGTGGTTAGTAGATTGTTGTCACTGTGGATAATAAGTGTTTTGATTGACTCTTGGGTTTGTTAGTTTTTTTTTTTTTTTACCTTGCTAATTGCTAAATGTTAATAAAAACTTGCAAAGTTTGCAAATAATTCTGATTATTAAAAAAAAAAAATTCTCTGCGATGTCACTCAAAAAGCATTAAACAAAAGCGGATGATCTGTTGATTTCTGTTCATAAAGTAATCAGAGATTAATGGCACCATGTCACTCACAATATGTCCAGTTTAAAAAATGCTTTGCTTAGTGTATATGAGAAAAAGTTAATGCTGTGTTTTCTGACGGTGTTGACGCAGTAAAAACATGTAGTTTATTGTTGTTTCTTAGAAAAATGTGAGCAGGAGGTCTCTGTTTTATTCCACCGCCATTGTCTGAGGTTTATATTTTCATTTCAACATTTAAACCGTACTTTAAAACTGAGTGTGTCTATAAATATAAGGGTCAGAGATCAAATGCCAACTGGGACCTCTGATGCCTGTCTGATCTGGCTATAAGCTCAGTCCACAACACACACAAAGGAACACACAGAGTAATGAAGTGTGTTTGAACCCTTCTTCTGACCCTGACCTAAGAGAAGATTTGTCCCACAGCAGCTCACACAGCTCTGTGAATGTTATTTGAAGGATCTGACAGCTTTGTACAGTTTTCCCATCTGCTCTATTTTTACAAATACTGACTCGTGGTTTATAGTCTGCCAACATGAAGAAATTAAATTGTAGTTGCAACCATTCACAAAATGTGTATATTCCTATTGCAATGATTGTATAATCACACGTTCACTTGTTTTATTAGTAATTTGGAAACTAAATTATTTTGTGCTATTTCCTTTTGCCTCATTATTTGTAAAAGTTCACAGCTATTTGTAGCATTATTTAGTTTAGTGTGCTTAGGGTTTGCTCTTTTACTCAGAGAAATGTACAGGGGAAAAAAACTCATAATTCATTGCTTTAAATAGGATCATTTAGCAGCATGCCTTTTAGACTTGTGTTTTCAGAATCAGAATCAGCTTTATTGTCATTGCACACTTAAGTACAGCGAAATTACGTTCCCTACAGCCGTCCGAAGGGTAGATGGAAGTGTACCGGGGCTGCAGCTTCTATGAAGCTCTGCACTTATCGCTTAGATAAGAAAGGGGGAGGAAAACATGAGGAGAGAAGGTATTAAAAAATACACAGGGCACAGTGTAAGGCAGCAAATCTACCTCAGCATAAAAGCAACATGAATAGACATAATACATTTTGCAGGGGGGGATGGCAAGACGGTGAGATTGTCCATGAACACTTCCAGATAGTTTCCATAGTCCTGATAAAGATGTTACAGTGTCTATCAGCCGGTGCAACTCTGATAGGGTCCGGGTGAGCAGGAGCAGAGTGTCTTGTTTCCATAACATCCAAGGAGAAACTGAGATGGTCAGCCTTCCAAGGCCAGAGCCAGATTCAGATTTCAACATTGTGTTGGGTCAGGCTGAGCTCGTTAATTTCTGCGTCTGCCTTTACCGTCTCGATAGTATACCTCATGGCGACTCCAAACAGCCAAATTGTGATTACTTACGCTGAAGTCAGGCTTACAACTTCTCCAAGATCTATTCCTTCCAACCATCCGTGAACACTGCCAGAAATTCCACAGTCCTGCTTGCTCAGCACTGATACAGGCCCACAGATAGTTCGCACACAGTCGTGAGTGTTGCCAAGCCCTGCACACACATTTCAGACAGCTTAAACATCTGCTGATGTTTCCAAATTTGTCAATAATCCATATTTCCACCAACTCCAAAAAGCAGAATCCAGTTATCATGAATCCAATTATGTTTCCGAGGTAAGAGCTCTCCTTCACCCTGTCTTCTTGTTGAGAAAATTTGATCAATTGCTTTGAGAGACCAGCTGAACAAATCCATAGTTTACAATTTGGAAGGTATGCAAAAAGGGGCTCTGAAAAAAGTTCACAAAACTTTATGGGAGTCTTTAGAGAGTGTTAATCAGCATTGTAAAATATTTGTTTTTAATGTTTGATAACAACAACAACAAAAACTGCAATTTTTAGCTCAAATATAGTTATTTCTCTGAACAATTTCACACAGGCAGCAGGTGAACAACAGATAATGCTTTTAATTGTATTTTACTGCCACTATGCACCTATTTGGTGTTACTTCAGGACTAACTCAGCCACAACTCAAAAATATCATTTTAAATTCTGCAACAAGGATTCAGAGCAGGGAGAGGAAGACCTTGATGATAATGATGCTGATGCCAACGTCAATAATATCCGCCCACGTCCAGACAGGTGGCGTCCTGCAGGCGCAGCAGTGTGTCAGAGCTGCTTCTTTAACACGTTCGCTCACTGATATTCTATCATCAGAAGAAGTCTGTGCTTTTGAAAATGAGGTATTCCTGTAACTTGTTTCAACAACATTATTTCAAACAGAAAATGAGCATTCAAGTATTGTATTTTTATTACTTCATTTATCTCTTTTTTTTATTACTAAAGTGTCACAAAAAGGAGAATGAAAGTGTCAGGGTTTTATATTTGACTGAATCCAAAGAAATATTAAAACGCACTTCTTGAAATGCTGCTTTTTTTTTTTTCCACTGGAAGAGTTTCCACGGAGCGGAGCACTGCCCCAGAGAGTTTTTACTGTTGTCTCACCCGGAGGCTATGTTTTCACATTTGTCTTTACAATTAAACGTAGCCTGGAGGTAATCCTGGCGCTCTGCCTCATAAGTGCTGACAGTCAAATAAAACAGGAGAAACATGATTCAACCTAATTCCAACGCACTTCTTTTAAAAGCCTTCTGGTGTGTCAAAACAATGTACAGTACAGCTGCTCTTAATTCATAGAAATGGGTTGAGACCTTAAACAAAAATCACAACATTCCAAATAGTTATAGTCGGCCGTTAATGTAGGAGATGCACTGATTTATGCACCAGTACAAATCACGAGTTGACCCTGAAGTTAATTGTACACAAGTAATCCCTAGAGCTGCTCACCTCAGTCTGCATGCGAGTTAGCAGCAAAATGAAAAAGGCCAAGATGAACAGAAAACATCATGAATCTGTTGAAGGCAGTATTATTTGGTGCATTGCCTCAAAATGTTCTACATAGAAGCCATTATTATGTCAACATGAAACCTTTTTTTGTTTGTGTGTGTGTGTAGGTAGCTCTGTATAATCCTGAAGCAGAAGACGGTGAGAGTCCTGGGAGTCTGGGTGGCAGCCTGAGCAACAGTCTTTCAGAGCCGAGCTTGGCGTCTGTCAACCTTAACAGCCTGAGCACGGCTGTCAGCAGCGGCGGCAGCGTGCACAGCTACACACCAGTAAGAGCTTGTCTTTGTTATGGCAGTGAGTGGAATGACTGTTACAGAAGAAAGTCTGTTTGTACAGGAACAATAGCTGACCCGATGCCACCACGAGCTTCATCTTATCATAACAGGGTCAAAAATTTCTCACACTACTTTTTTTTGTTTGTTGTTGTTCTTAATAATCATCTCTCGTGATTACATTTTTGGACAGCTTTTGTGTGATCTCCAGATTCTGACGTAATCTGGGTGATTCAGTTGCTGGTACAGACACTCAGCGGGTGCTGAAGGTGTCTGCTACACCCTTAGCAGCTGGGGAGGTGGGAACCAGCTAACAACTTGTACACTGGAGCTCCAGCTCACTGCTAAAACCCTCGTTTTTTGTGTTTAAGTTTAGACTGAAAGTCAAATTTATTCTCAGTGGGGTTTTAGCAAAACACATTTATTGTTAAAAAAATAATAATAACGTCGTCTTTTGCATTAGTTTTGAGGAGGTGACCTGAGTAGATAACTCGTGTGTGTCTTTGAAAATCTTCCATTTCAGCTGTACCATGATTATCATCAGTTCCTCTGTTAAGCCAAAATCAAACCTCTCAACATAAATGAGTTTCTTTGAACTGTATTCCATACAGTTCGTGCGTTCTTCAATCACATACAGTAGTCCCTTGTTCATCACGGGGGTTACATTCCAGACCCTCCCCACAATCAGTGAAAAACTGCAAAGCAGGAATGCTTTATTTATTTTATTATGTATATATATTTTAAGGCTATAGAAACCCTTCCCACACTCTTGCAATGTTCAGGGCTATTCAACTAAATTAATAATAATAATAATAATACATTATTTATAAAGCCCTTTAAAACAACAACAGCTGCAGTAAAGTGCTGTACACATAAAATCAAGAACATTTAAACGCATAAAAATAAAACAGCTGGTAAATTGCTAAATTGCTCAGGGGGCCACCGTTCCTGAAAACCAAGAGCTCAGGGGCCAGAAATCCAGCAGTTATTGTCATTAATTAAGTTTGTTTAACTTTTTTAAATCTAGTTTTATTTAAAATTGAACCAGTGGGTGGGCCCAACTGAGCTCACCAGTTGGCCTGATTTGGCCACTGGGCCTCCAGTTGAATAGCCCTGCTCTAAACTCTTAAGTCTACATAATTTTAACAACATACTGTATGCACTGTACAGTACTGCAAAACTGTACTCACCAGCTCTGCAGAAACAGCAGCTCGGCTCCGGTTTGGCAGACCTACCCTGCAGCGACGAAGCCCACAGTGCTCTAAACTCTTAAACTTATGAAATTTTAAGCATTGTTGAGCACCAAGATGCTTTTAGAGAGAGACAGACCTTTAGATAGCCAGCACAAAACCACACAGTAGTCCCGATAGAGTCCAAATCCAATTGAAAAAAGTCCAGATGAGCTCTGGAGAAAACACCGGACCTCCAAGCGACGCCTCCCTTCTCGAGAGGCCTCATGGGTCAGTAAGCAGCACTCCGATTTACAGATGAGGCTGGAAGTCCGGTACTGGTCCTATTCCCGGTCGGTTCCATACGGCTCTCTGTATCCACTGAGCGCCAAAGTCACTATGGAAAAGGACAGAACTTTTTCAGATCGAATCTAAACTTTCCCTCCATTTCAGCAGAAAGCAACGTCTGGAAGCAATGTAGTCTTTTTGAGTGGTGACACAGTGCAGGCTTATTGAGAGAAAAACTACAAAATGGCAGCATCTGTCTGAAGCATTATTTTTTTTTTGTTAACTTTTTACTCTACACCCAATAATGGTCAGTCAGGTCATCTAGACAGTTTCTTTTTTTTGGAAAGACATTTATCCCTCTGTCCGGAGGGTAATTATTATTTTTTTTTTTTACTGTACAGTATCCTGTACTGTCCCAATCACGTGAGTAATATTAAAGTTGACAATCGTGTGTCGTGTCCAGTTTTTTTCCCCTCGTGTTCAATATTATTTACAAAAACCATGAAAGATTAAGTCTGCGAAAGTCGAAGTGCGAATTAGCGAGGGACTACTGTACTGACTTGCAATGTCGTCTCCGTTAAGCTGATACTGAACCTCTCGACATAAATGAGTTTCTTTGAACTGTATTCTACACAGTTCGTGAGTTCTTCAATCACATACAGCTAAATCATATTTATGCTTCCAGTGGATAAATTGTAAGAGCAGAAACCCATTGTGACTTTTTTCTCCATTGTTTTACCATCACACTACAGCATCTTCAGCATATTTTGTTCTTTGTTCCATTAAAATAAATTGAATACAATTTTAAAGACTAATATTTGTTCAAAACTATTTGGCCCCAAATTACAGTAGCACAGAAAGCCCATCTTTATTCTGTTTATTGTTTCTCTCCTGTAACAGCTGCGCACCTCTTTTTTTAACTATCAGTCACAATTCTCTAGTTACCTCCCACCTGCATTAGCAAAGGTCAGTGCAATCTCATCTCGTTAACCTCTCATTCCTGGAGGCCATCTTATGTTTTTCTCCTTACTCCATCACCTCCTCCACCCCTCCTTCAACCTTCCAGACCTCATCTGTGGTCGAGCCCACAAGGATCAGGGTTACTTCTGACTCATTACCTGGTGCAGGTGACGTTCTCTTGGCTGACAGTGATTACTGGTGGCATTGCTGGCAGAGATCTCAAAGATACCAGAAGATTTTACAGAGAGGCTCCCATTATTGGGTGTCACGATCCTCAATGTTGGAACCCAATTGCAGAGAGATGAGTGAGGCAGGAGTCCAAAAACCAAAACAATTTATTTTTTTTAACAACAAAACAAAAGGCTGTCGGTGCAGCAAAACTTACTTTTGGCAGATTGGATCAGAAATAATGCAGAGCAGATCATCAGGGGGGCAGAAACCAGGCAAGGCAGAAGAGGATTGTGAAGTCAGAGAACATAGAACAATCACCGGACAAGGAGTGAAGGAAAGAAAGGCTTTTTATGTGACAGAGGGAGAGTTAGTAATGAGAGCACCTGGGCAAGTGGCTGATGAGGGACAGGTGTGAATGATAAAGACTGAGTGGAGAAGCAGACTAAGGAATGAGAGGAACATAACAGAAACAGATAAACAGAAAATCACACA